GAACTCATGCTGAAGTGGCTTCAGCTTCTCAGTGGTGTGCTTTAACCCACTGCACCACCAGGGAGGGCCGCTAGATTATGTTTTGTCTTGATGTGGCAGATGGCAGAACCTATTTAGACGAGGCAGGACTGGGGAGTCAAGATGTCCCTCACTTTTCCCTGTGACAGTGCTACTTGCATCCTACTAATAAAGTAGTGTTCATTTGCAAAGACTAAATGAGAGACTATTAAAAATCTTTTAAATTAAAAAATTCAGAAACATTACCAATGATCCAGAAAAAAAGGAGTTCAGGATTTTGTCTTTACAATTTATGTCAAAAAGCCAAGTCACACTCTTACATCACCAACAGGGGTCATTCTTTAGCACACACACAGTCTGAAAAGCATTCCTTTTTGAATCCTGAAATAATTCGTAGTGTCCTAAAATTAAGCAGACCAAGACTGCATACAATGAATCATCTTAGTAAAATTTCCCTCTCTTATATCATAAAGTAAACAATAAGCCCAAGGTGAGTGCAGCACACCCAGCAGTGAAAGGGTAACTCATAGTGTTCAGACTCTCAAAGGCAGACAAATTCTGGGGTCTACATATGTGCAATGATTGCCACTAGAAAGTTAAAATGAGTAACCAAGTTTTAAAATAAATTCATTACATCACCCTTCATTTTTGTACAATGTATGGTTTCCCCATGTATTGCTCACCACCTGTTCACCTGTGCACCATCACTGTAGTCCCTCGTGCTCTTCCCACCCCTGTCCTGGTCCTTCTCCCTCCTCCTCCCCTATAGAGTGTCTCTAATATATAGAATAACCAATTTCAAGGATAAGTAAGTAGAGGCCTCATTTAGAAATTTAAAGAGAACTTCCAATTCTCAAGTAAAAGCTAGCAAAAAAATATATATATATATATATAATATATATATATATACGTACAATGTATCATCAGTGTAGGACTACAGAGTAGTTTTCATTTAAGTGAACTAATTTTCCTATAACTCACTTTCACTCACTTTTACTTTTCCATGTAAATGCAAAATACACTCTGAACCATAAGAATACATTTATTACTCATCTTACTAGATTTCTTATTATGAGAGGAAGAAGATGCAAGGGATCTAAGGGATTGTAGTCTTACCATCAAGCCACAACCCCTTCTTTTATTTGATGATTTAGGGTTCACACCTATTCATATGTTATCAAATCCCATCCACCACCTACAGCCCTAAAATCTTCTATTATAACCCACAGGTATCAGGCCCTTTTGTAAGGATAACATTACCTTCCTGTGTTCCTTTCTTCTGATGCAATAATCCTATGCCCTGCGGTCTCATCTACTACCTCCTCGTCTTCTGTCATCAAGGATTGATTCTCATCAGGGAATCTTTTGTTTCTATTGGTCATGTTTTAATTTGCCATTACTTGTACTCAGAGAATTAACAATGTAAATATTCAAGTCACTGCCAGAGTCCCTGATAGCAAACACTTGCAAGTACAATATCAGGAAAAAGAAGAGAGCCCAAGGTTTCTCTCTGGCAGACTTTTTCCTGCCTGCACTGTCACTCCCAGCACTCAGGGAAATAGAACCTAGACTGTCTAGGGAAGTCCAGTCCACTCTGAGAGGCAAGTGAGATCCACCAGGGCTTTCTCACAAAATAGCATTTTGTTACTACATGTCTCCTCTCTGAACATTAAGTGGTTTAAAACTGTTTCAGATGTGTGACTTTTCATAACCTTATATGAGGATTCATAATTCCTAAAAGAAACTGAAGAATAAATTATCTGGCAAGACAGAATCTTGAAAATGACCATG